TCGGCAAGTAATTGACTTCAAACCTTGTTATTTTTTTTAATTTTAATATATCATTTCAATAGTTATTATATGTTTTTTTTGGTATTCGATAGTTTTGTATTATGTCGGATAGATTGCTCTAAAAGGATAACTATGATTTTCAATGAGTTATTAGGCATTGGTGGCTCGACGTGGAAGTCTATTCTAGAGTAGACGAAAAAGTTCTACTATAATGAGTTTAAGGTAACATATTACTTATTTATTTATATTTTATTTAAAATATTAATTTAATATAAAATGAACTAATATTAATTTTTTATTCATGTAGAAGCATTTTTATTGGGAATCGACCATCGAGGAACAAGCTAGAGATGCTTGGGAGGCTTTGGCTAGAAAGCGCTACTCGACTTCATCCATAAGCATGACACGTATGAAAAAAGGCCTTTTTTCGTTAAGCGAGGGGTGTGGGATTCATGAAAGTAAGATTTTGTCACACCTAATCATCCGTCGCATTCTCGGCGGACATCGCGTAACCGAATGTCGAATACCGGTGATCTTGGTTCGGGACCATCTAAGCATACAGAGAGTCCATATATGCTTTTGAGCATGCATGCTACTTGGTAAATCCTATCATATATTATTAATGTTTAAGAAATTAATATTTGCATATCATATATTATTTGTGTTAATTTTTTTAAGCTATGAAATTGGGTTATTAGCCTAAATTTAGAGTTGTTTAAGGTCACTTATAAGCAAAGAGATGATAATTTCATCGATTTATGAGCTCGATCTACAATAGTAAGTTTATTTTTATTTTTATAATATAATCTAAAAATTTATTTTAATTTTTTTATTAACATTATAATTATTTTTATTACATAGAAGTGTGTGGAGGAGATGATACACAAATCTATAAGGAAGTAACAAGAGGCTTGAATTGAGGATTCACAAATTGACACGGATGCCATATACTTTGATGCTCGTAGGAAGAAAGATGAAGAAGAGGTTTTATGGGGATCGAGTCGGAGGCGGACCACCATTTATTTCAATCGACTGGCACCAACTACTCCTCCATAGCATCGTAGTTTCAAAGATCCAATGCTGCTCGAATAAGTTCCACCTCAATATGTAGAGACGATTAGGGCATTGCAGGAGAGGTTGCAAGAGCGGAATAACATTATCATGTAGCAGTAGAATGAAGATCCAAGAGATAGAGGCTAAGATGGATTCGATTTCATTAACGTTTGAGAGGATGGCGTAGCGGACTCCCTTACCTACCGACCCTTCCACTCGTAACAACTCCACACTCCCTCCTAGTGAGCCTTTATGCACCATCGTCCCTCCCACCAATCCCAAGGATGATACCCTCCCTCCCGGCCGAGTTACAAGATTCCACCATCCCTTCTACCGAGCCCCGGGAAGATGAGAGAGGATTACACGATATGTAGTGACTTTTATGTTTTTAATCTTTTTTTTACGTACTAATAAATATTTTTTAAAATATAAAGTTTATTTTAATTTGTAGTATTTTAATTTTAATAAAAAATTCAATTTTTATAATAAGTTGTTAGTTTTAATTATAAGTTACTATCGAGAATATCAAAATTTATGAAATTAAAAAAATTAAATTAAAGAAAATAAATAAAATATTTCCTTACTAATTAGTGACGGAATAACGACATAATACCTATGGAATTGTGATAGATTTGAAAACAATAAATTAAATTCAATCGAAAAAACAACGATGAAAAACAATTTCGTCACAAAATAATGTCTACTTAACAACCAAAACAGATACGAATTAGCGATGGATATTAGTTTCGAAGCTAGTGATAGTTTTTTTGTCATTAATTAGCGATGGATTACATACGATTTTGTGATAGGTTGGCGATGGTTCTTAAGGTGCTCGTGTTGTCATTTAGTGACAAGAATAATTTGTTTAGCGATGGAGTATCCGTCGCTAATTTAGTAATGAATACTATTAAATCCATCGCAAGGGTTAGCGACACTTGTTTTGGCTAGAAAATTTTTACCATCACAAGTCCGTGTATTATTGCAAAGGATTTGTTACAATTAGCGATAGAATTTTTGTTGCTAATTGACAAATTTCTTATAGTGTTAGCAGACATAAGCGATTATAATTAGGAATGATAATGAGTTGGGTATAAAGTAGGTATTTGCTTTATCCGACCGAATAAATACTATTAAAAATATCCAATGGATATTAAAGTAGGTAAGGGTAAAAAAATACATATCTATTAATATGATTTTATGGATACCCACTCCTTACTCTATTAACATCCACTAATTTATTTTGATTTTTTTTTCAAACATGCATGGATCTAATTGCATAAACTTTAAAAATTAAGGAGCAAAATATTTTTTCTAAAAACTTTGAGGACCAAAAAACTTATAAAGAAATGACCAAAATGCAACAAAAAAATAATAATAAAATAAAAGATCAAAAAACTTTTCTTAAAAATTATAGAGACTAAAATAAAATATATTTAACAAATTATTTTTACCGGGTATTGAATGGGTATTATGTGGATGGATAAACTAATTTGGGTTGAGGATGAGTTAGGTAAAAATTTATATAGTAATTTTTTAATAGATAATAGATAAAATATTTTTTTTATGAATAAAATAAAAAATTAAATTAATAAGCTAGATACTCGCCTATTGCTATCCCTATTTATAATCTAAAAAGAAAATTGAAAAAACAGGTAGTTGCCAACTGCCATGTGCTTCTCGTGTCAACACAAAGGTCTCTTGCGTAAAGGATGGTTTCGTCACTAAAATCTAATTAAAGGATATTCTGATGGAAGGACGGACTGAAAACTTAAGATTTTTTAAGAATTAAATCAATACAAATAAGAGTGGAAATAATAATTAGTGGAGTGAAAATAAGTAATAGCCACTCTTATTTCTTACTAAATGCTTTGTTCTTCGGGTTTGTTTACTGTTAGTTTTTACCAGTGTAAGGAAGGTATATAGACCTTTCTTTTATTGATTGGCTTTGCAGTCATTCTCTCTACTTATGCCATAATCATAAATATAACTATGGAATGGAAAGGTTAATTCAATAAATTTAAGCATTTCTAGCATCATTCTCGTAGAATTAATATACAATAAACAATTTTTTTTAGCGTATTAATGCATTATGTAACCAGCAATGCCAATAAATTTAATAATAGTAAACTTTAACAGTTAGATATATTGACTAAATTAACAAATAAAAATAAAGAGTTTCTTATTTTCAATCAAATGATAAGAATTAAAATGATGAGAATAAGAATTGAAAGTTTTATTCTCGTTTTATAAGTATTTGATTAAAAGAAATTAAGTGAAAATGAAATGAAATATAGTTTTATTTTCGCAGAAGAAGGTGAGAATAAAAAAAGAAATGAGAACAAAATTTTTCTTTAAAATAGTGATATATTATTTTTATTAATTGTATATCAAGTACTTCTACCACCATCACCTCTGTTAACAATGGTGATAAAAAAAAATTAAAAAAAATGATTATTATTATTCTATCACTTTTATTATATCTTCGTCGTCGTCGTCGTCACCACCATTAACACCGTTGATGGTAGGGGTGTTCGTTCGGTTATTCGGTTTGGTTTAGAAACATTTCAATTTTGGTATTTGATAATTTGATTTTTATCTATTTTATTTTATTTATTTATTTTCTACAAATAATCGATTCTATTAAAATTTTTGAAATCTCTATTTAGAGTGGATTTCTTTCGCGTTGTGGACTACTAGCTAGGAAACTAAGTTATGCCCAAAAAAATAGCAAACACATTAGTGGATAAACAAATAATAAATTATTTACTCAAGAAGACTCGAATTAGAAACGATAGAAAATCTATCAACGTCTTTATTATTTTGTGTACATCCAAACTTGTAACGAGAGATAAAAAGAACACGTATGAAGCTATGGGAGGAAGTACATCTAGGAGAGAAGGGTTTTTCAATTTGGAGGTGCGAGTGAGTGATCCGACTTAATATATATATATTAAAAATTTTGGTTTTTTGGTTAAGCGATTTTTTTTTCAAAAAATAAAAAAAAACCGAACCCAAATCTGAAAATCAAAATTATTTTGATTCATTTTTTTTTTAAATTTTTAAAAAACACATCAAAATTGATATTTCGGTACGGTTTAATTCGGTTATTTGGTTTTCACTGAATAGTGAACTACCTAATTGACGATGGTGATAAAAAAAGTTCAAAAATAAAAAATTATTATTGTTGCTATTGTTATTATTCCACCACAATTTTTTTTTCCACTACGACCATCATCACTTTTATTTTACAACCATTACTCTTTTTTCATTGCCACCTCTTCGGTGGTGGTGTCATTTTTTTTGTTAAATATAGTATTGTTATTAATATACTCGTTATTACTACTATCATTTTTTTTCACCACCACAATTACCTTTATTATTTTTCTTGTTATTGTTGTTGATGAAATTATATTTTTAATTATTATTTTTATTCGTCTTAAAAATCAAATATTAAAAATTTTAAATTATATTCTAATTGTCTATTATTATTTTAAACACAATACGAAAATGCAAATGTCATTCGATTTCTTAATTTTTATTTCGATTCATGCATTTTCATTTCAAATCTTTCATTCTTAATAATTAAATGATAACTAAATGAACATTCCAACAAGACCTAATTTGGATTAGAAGAAAAAAAGATCTACTGATTACTCACACAACAAAAACTTGATAAGAATAGAGAATTTTTTTTGTATATTTAGGAAATAACAGTAGCTGTTACAGTCTATACTTTTCTCCATGCCAAATGGATTTTGTTGTCAATCAATCCCTTACTATGACATCCACCACATTTATAGGCATCCATCATTCTCTCCTAATTTACACAAACTATAAGTATATGATGGCATTAAACCATATTCTTGTAGGCATTTATAATCCTCAAGTCGCTGGGACTTTACATTTGTGATCTTACTCATTGTGTGACATAATTTGTTAGTGTCATCATGGCTACCGGGCAGTATAGCAACCAAACGGTGATAGGGGAACAGTTCATGCCACCGCCCCCGGGGGAGCTGGCAATCTTGGGGATGCCATCGTCTCTGGAAAATGGTTATAAGGTTACAGATGCTAGTGAAACTCTCATTTTCCAAGTCAAAAGTAAGTGTGTATTTAGAATCAATGATATCCGATATCTGCAAGACGCAGCTGGCAACACACTCGTTACTCTCAGACCGAAGGTTTGTCTTTCTTGCACTTCTTTCTTAATATCCATTTGTTAACCATTACAGTTTTGTGTACTGTTTTAGATTCCTTTGATGTCTGTGTTCGTTGATTTGTAGAGGTTCTTTTTGTTTGTTTACTAGTACTGGAAAAGGGTTGTTTATTTCCGGTAATCAGCCTGGTATTAAAGTTTTCATTCCTTTCAAAAGTTTAAATTCAAACCTCTCCATTATAATAATTAAAAAAAAATTAATTTTCAATATAAAAGAGATTTCGATTTTTTTTCTTTTTGTTCTTCCAATTTGTAAATGCCAGAAGAAAAAACAGGATGACTTCAAATATACTCACATGAATGAATTGTCCATGATTTTTAAAATACTAGTAATTAACTGTGGCCAATCATGTGGCTAAATTGAGAGTTGGTTTTGCTGCTCCCATGCAATTTTGGAATGACCCTCCCTCTGATCTTTCTTCGTTCCTATTGATGGATGTTATGGGTATTGTAGTCTTGAGGCTTTTAGTTTCTGTGGTTTCTTTCTTGAGTAAATTATAAATTAGTATTTCTAGTATTGAGAAATGAATGAATTAATTATTTTGTTTTAAGAAATAATTATTTAATTATTTAATTTTAAATTTTCTTGTAATTTATTTATTTATTTTAAGAAATAGAAAAAGAAAAATAAATAAAAGAAATAGAAGAATTTAATGAAAAAAGATTATTTTTAAAATAAAATAATATTAAATTAATCATGATTAACGTTTATTAAAAAAAGCTAAATAATTGATTTTTAAAATAAAAGGAAATAATTCATTTGTTTCTAAAAAATAGAGAGACTAATTTATATTTTACTCTTTTATTCTTTCGTAAAAAAAAAAAAATGCAGCATGTGCATGCTCTTGTCCATTATTAAGTTGCCACAAATTAATTATTATTTTTAAAATTTTACACTAAATTTGTTGAACTGAAAATACGCATTTAAATAATTGACAAAAAAAATATATTATAGTTTTATTTTATAAATAATGATGAAGTTTTAGTCAATTTTAAAATTTATGAATACGTATGTGTGTATATATATTAATGAGCTCCATAGTTTACATATTATTTTGCATATAGTTTTTCTTTTTGATAAATATTCTATTTTTCATGATTTTTGTATTTATATTATACATAAGTGATGTCCTTAGTATCATTTAGACTTTTTGATTGAAATTAGAAGCTTTTATCTCATCGATTTATTTTGAAAAAGTTTTGTTAATTTGATCAAATTTCAAAAGTTTAAGAACTAAAAAAAAAAATTATTAGTTGATTTATTATTAAAACTTCGAAGAGGATATTGACAAAATTGAAACCTTAGAGGGATAAACTGGATTTTCCCGAACCTCAAGGGCAATTTTAAATTAATCCTGAAGATTATCACAGTTTAAGACAAATTATTAAGAATAATATTGTCCAATTAAAAATTTCGACAAAGAGTTACATTTTTATGAAGGGCTATGGATTTACCATACTTGCCACTATGATTATATAAGAAGAATCCATCGTTAAAATATAGCATTTCTCATCAAATAAACTGCTAATACTTTTGAGATATTAAGCCTTTCCACCTATTAAAATAAAATTGTTAGTCTATTAATAAACAAATTAGTTTTTAGGTGAATTGTTTGCTTTTAAAATTGTATTTGTCGAAAGGTTAAATATTGTGGTTACGAGTTCCGAATAGAATTAGTTTTTTTTTCTTCCCTAATGTGGAATAAAACCAAAAAAAAATAATAATAAAGTGAAAATTTAAGATCTCGGGCTATTTGATGAGTACACTCTTGCCTTCTACATAGAATGTTGTGCATTCTCGTTAAATATTCTTTGCTCTTAGAGCATTTCCAATTGTACTCTTTACTTTTAACTATCATTTTTAATATAAATAGAGAGCATCATTAATTATATAGATTGAAGATCAATATCCTCTCTAATGTTACTCTCTACTTAACTCTTTATTTTGACAAAATCTATAAAACCTAAGGAGACTATTGGTGAAGAGATTGAATGACATAGGAAATAGTAATTTTTATTAATAAAATATAAGATAAAGAGTCATTTGGACTCTCTAGTATTAGAGAGCCAAAAACACTCTCTATATCAATTTTAAAAATAGAGATTATGATAAAGAGAGCATTGTAGATGAAATTTGGATCAAAACTCTTTATTATAAAGAAAAATCTTAATATAAAGAGAGCATTGGAGATGCTCTTAAAGCTCAACTACGCATTTTCTCGTTATTTTTCAGAAGACTATGCAAAATGAGTGCGGGCTTTTAGAGTAGAAAGCACAGATCCTCAAGATTTAATATTTTTAGCCAAGAGGACAGAAATCTTCCAACTTTCGACTAAGATAAATGTACTTTTGCGTTCCGACACAACAGAAACCGTTCCTGATTTTACTATCAAAGTAGACGTAATGGAGAGATTATTTTAAAAATGTTAAAAAATGCCATAATATATATATATATTGATAAGATTGCATCCAAAAAATAATGCAACCTACTATAAAAACTCCTATAAAAATTAACAAATGAATATTTTTTTCATTCTTGTTTAATTGTGATGAGAAGATTATTTTTTTAAAAAAATTATTCATTAGATTTATATATATTTATTAACAAAATAATCAATAATCTTAGTATAAAAAGCTTTATTTGAATCATTGGGTGGTTCACATAAAATATTATTTCAATTATTTTATTTTATATAAATTAAATTTAGAATATTTAAAAAATCAGTAACAAATGGTTGATATTATATATGTAGATGCATAGTTAATTTATAATAAAAATAATTATCTCAATTTTTTTATATACATCATTAACTATACTCATTAGGTTTAATTAGAGTGTATGGTATGAATAAAAAATATTTAAAAAACAAATAAATTGCAAGGAATATATTAAAGTTTATATATTGAAATAAAAAGATTACAAAATTAATTTTGATAAATTTTAATTATATAAAGAAGTAGCAAATAAAACATGTGAATTCTATTTTTTAATTGATGTTTTAAAAAAGTTTGAGACAAATGATCTAAAACATACTTTTATCTTTATAACACTCTCATTTACAAACCATAAGAATCAATCATATGAATTATATCAATATATAAAAAAGATTAAATAATGATATTTTAAGATTTTATTCAAAAATCTTTACATAGAGAAAATGAGTCGTATTTATTAATAAATAAAATTATACAAAAAATATAAAATTAATTTCATGAGACTTTTCACAATAAATGACAAATCAAAGAAATCAATTTTAAACAATAAGAATAATATAATCCAATATTTATGTTCATTGAAAAATGATAAAATAATTATATTCTAAAATTTTATTTAAAAATCCATACATAGAAAAAAATAAATCATATTTATTATCAAACAAATTATATAAAAAAAATTTAAAATCCATGATTAAGTTTTCAATTGGACTAAGCGGAAGCTAAATTTAATTGAATTTTCAGTCCAAAGGATTTCAAAAAAATTGAAGTATTCATAAATTAAACTGTAAGTAAGTTTGGTTAATAATGGATTTAAATTAAGAGAATGGATGATTTATACTTAAATTAAATATTTTCAATTAAGTTGATTATTTTTTCATTTATCCGATTTTTAAGGAAAATGATATAAATTTATTATTTTCAATTAATGTGACTATTTGCTACTATGTCAGGTTTTTTTTTTTTTGTTAGAAAAAAGAAACTTGACAAGAATTTATTTTACTAAAATGAATTGATTTTGTTTATAATGAATAGTTTTATAACCGAATTTTATGGACTATTTGGAGAAATTTAAACGACATCAAATGTTTTAATTTAATTCAAAGTATATTATTTTAAGGTTTAAAATGAATTTTATAATTATAAGGTCTTGGGCAGATTTTGGAATTTAATATATCCATATAAAAATAGTATTATTAATATTTCATGATGAATTTCTTTTGAAAATTTTTATACCTAAGTAAGGTTGGGCCTAATAATCTTTAATTATCAGGCACCATCTCCAAAAATTGTTATTTAATTTGTAATATAAGGAAAAATGTTTGTTGTCTTGCATTAATTGTACTAAAAATATAAAATAATACCAATAATATTCTTGACTTATTTAACTTATAGGTCGGGATGTTACATAGGTGATTGAGAGAACTCAAATAGAAAAAAAAAATAATCAAATGTTGAGCACACGCAGAGAAAATTAATAAAAAAATTAGGGACTTAAATTATATTTTTAATAATTCAAACGAGGTCCCTTTTTTGTTACCTATCGTTTAAAAATGTTCATGTGACAGTTCTTTCCAAATACAATATTATTTTTTATGATTGCGGACAATAAAATAGAAAAAAATTCAAAATTTAAGTACTTAAATAAAAGAGTTTATCGCTCGGACATTAAAACAGAAAAAAACAAAAGTTGCACTCTTAAATGGTAGTTTTCTCTTTAGCATGAAGGGCAATATTGTAATGTCACGAAAGCTACGGAGGTAACTTCGGAAAATTAGAACCAGGAACAGATTTTTGTTCGTTATTTATTTATTTAGGTTTAGCAAAAGGTAGAAGAAGAAAAGAAAAAGAAGTCGATTATCTCGTCTAGAGTAATTTGAAGGGACGACAGAGAAGCGAGAATAACTGTGGCAGTGGGCATGGAATCAGCTGGTGAGTGGTTGGAGAAAGCATTGATAAATTTGGGTTTGGATTTGGATAGGGATATAATCTCTGGTTTAGTCTCCTATTGCAATTTCGCTCAACCTCTTGACGCCAAAGAGTATCTCCTTGTAATTTCTTCCATTTCCTTATCTCTCAATTTTATTTTCTTCTTTACGATGATTGATTTTGCAATTTTTTTTGGTTATTTATTTGAATTGCTTAGTCCTTGAGAATGACCGCCTGTCGTCTGTTAGTGTTTTTGCCGTTTCTATTGATGCTTATGATTTTACTGAAATTGAAAGCAATCCGTGTCTTTTGATGTCTCATTACTAAGAATCGCAATATCTGTCATATGTCTTTCCTGTCTTCGTGGCCATTATTATATTGTCTGACTTGTCGGTGTCATGGTTCAGAAATTGGATGGCAACTGACTATGTTGCCTGTCTGCTCTCTACTTCGTATGTCGTACCACTAGACTGTGTTGTTTTGCAACGTTTTACATGGTTTGTCTCTGTTGGCAGAATATAATTGGGCAGGAAGCCAGCAAAGGTGTGATTGAGGAATATTTACGGCGTAGAGGTCAGCTAGATCTTGTCAGTAGCACATCAGCAGTTCAAACTTCAAAACTTCAGCCATATATCAAACCAGTATCAGAAGAATATGCTGTCAGTGGAAGCATGAAACCAGTCAGAACATCTAAAGATGCTATAGTTTCCAGTCATCATGGACAAGCAGAACCAAAAACAAACACTGTTTCGAGTTATCAAGGAAACAGGGTCCCAACAGAGGCCAGTGAGTCAAGCCAAAAAGGGATCCAAGGGAAGTCTAAGAAGAAGAAAGCTGGAAAAGTTGTTTCACTTGCAGAGGCTGCCAAAGGGTCAATTGTCTTCCAACAGGGTAAGCCATGCCCATGCCAAGCCCGTCAGCACAAACTGGTGAGTAATTGTTTATCCTGTGGAAAGATTGTCTGCGAACAAGAAGGGGAGGGGCCTTGCAGTTTTTGTGGTGCCCTTGTGTTAAAGGAAGGTAGTACATACGCCGGGCTGGAAGAAAGTGTGGCTCCTATATCAGATGCTGAAGCGACAGCTGAAGCTTATGCTAAAAGGCTTGTAGAGTATGATCGAAACTCTGCAGCACGTACAAGTGTTATTGATGACCAAAGTGATTACTGTGAGATGGAAGGCAACAACTGGCTGTCACAGGAGGTATTTAAGTTATTGCCATATGCAACTTGCTGATTGTATTTTCACTGTTGTGTCTGCCTACATGCAGTTAAGCTCTCTCCCTTTTTTCCCCCTTCTTTTGTTTTATTTTTCTCTTTACAGGAGAAGCAACTTTTGAGGAAGAAACAAGAGGAAATAGAAGAAGCTGAACGGGCCAAGAGAAATAAAGTGGTTGTGACTTTTGATTTGGTTGGACGAAAGGTATCAAAATTTTAGCTACCAGGCTTTCTGTGTTATTTCAAATCATTCATGTTGCTTCATTCCTGTAAAAAACTCTTGTTGCTGCATGAAGCTTTTTCCACTTCAAATTTTAAATAGTGGTACAAGTAAGAGCATTCCTGTTTTGGACGTCTCCCATCCATTCTTTAAAAGCTTTGACTGTTATTTTGCTGCCACCCACACTCCAGATCCTCATCTTTTTCAGTTGTTTTAAAATAAAAATCTATCAGGAATAGTTATGGCCGACTTTTCCTTTTCATTACAGTTTGAATGGAGTAATGTGTTGAGTTGGGGTTTATAGGATTTATATTCATGATTTTGAACAATGTAGCTTCCATACTGATAAAACCTGCACACCTACATGCAAACCTTGTTGTTGCCAGCATCCTTTTGCTGGAATAACGCATTTGTAACAAAACAGAAAAATAAAACGAATGCGAGAGTAGCTTTTCTGTTGAAGTTCAAAAAAGAAAAACAAGCTTTTCAGTGGTGTACCTTCTCCCAATATGAAAGTTATGGATATTGTGAAGCTCTGTTCCTGAGTTTTATTGACAATTTTTCCACTTCTTCTGTATTTTTCTTTGCCACTTGGATTCTATTTGTGAAGTTTTTATGTGCAATGCTTCACCTATTGATTTGTGTTTTATTTATTTATTATTTTCCATAATGGGCAATGTGTATGTTGTTCAGGTCCTCTTGAATGAAGATGAAGTTTCAGAGCTTGAGTCAGAGAACAGAATACTCAGGCCACCAGATGAAGGAAAGAGAGATGTGAATCGAATTAAACCAAATCCAAGTCTTCGAATACAACCCATATTTTTGGATCCAGGACCTCAGAAAAAGCCTGATAAGGGCAAGCAATCAAACAAGGGTGGCCTTTCCAATGGTTTGTGCCTGGAGATAACTGGTAGGGTGCAGCATGACAGCAATGAATTGAAATATTTTATGATGGACAAGCAGCTGAAAACAGCTTCCAGTAGAAATCGTGGCAAGGTCCTCAATTAAGCAGGAGTATACACCAATTTTAAGAATATTGTTATGTTGATATAGCACGCAGGCAAGATCTTATTGAATTGTACTTGGTGGCATGAAAATCAGATTGCCTTAGTGTCCAAATCATATGTGGTTTCTACTGCATTTTTTATTATCAATGTGTTTAAGTAGAATAAGTCATCTCACTTGCTGGTTAGGTTATTGGGTATGATTTGTATTTTGTGGAAGACTTCTGTTGGAATGTGATGGTGCCTTACTTCAAACTCTTGCTCCTGTTCCATTATTATTGACAGTTTATGTTGAAATGCTCATGTATTTTGCTTTCCAGACCTTCCTGTTCAAATCTTCTTATTCTCCTACTCCCATTATCTATTTTTTTTTTTTTGTCCAGTTTGATAAGCTGCGAAGCTAAGGTCAATGCTTTTCTTGATCATGGGTTCCTAACAGGGTGTCCTTTTAATATGTGAGCTTTGTGCTTAGGGAATACTGAAATAAGGGAAAACTTGTTTTGCATTGTATTGTTGCTAGTACCATGAGATAGGGTTTTATTCTTTTCTTTCCTTTCTCTTTCTCTCTTTTTTGTAGTGAACTCATATCCAGAAAGTTACGTGGGTTTTTGTTGATCAAATTTTGTTCTTTTCCATGAAGATTGTCAACTTCTTTGGCACTGCGCTATATTTTGTTGTGATTTGGAGTGTTTGGATGAAGAGAAATACTAGGATTTTTAAGAATAAAATTTTGTCAACATTGAGGGATAAAGATTTTAGTGGATTAGCAACGTTTCTTCAGCTAAATCTGATTCCTCCTTTTCTTTTATTTTCATTTGAACATTTTAGGAAGGTGTACTTTTCTCCGTATTTTACACACATGTCTATTCTTTTTTGTTTTTAATTAAAGTTCTTTCTTTATATAAAAAATGACGTTGTTATACTTTGTGTTTGTAATTCATTGGTCAAAGTGTTATTAATATTTGACAATTTTTTGCTGTTATGCCGACTAATTATACAGATTCAAGATTTTTATAATTGCTTTGTTTCTTTCAATATACAAGATGCTATGCTTGTATTTAAAGAAAGTAGGATATGGCTAGCATTGCTTACAAGCAAAAGTCCAGCATAGTAAAAATATGAAAATAAGAAGGGCATAGTTGAAGGCATTTGAAGGACAGAATTCATATGCATACAAATTTTGATGTCCTGTAGTCCATATTGTTATTAGTTTCTGTGTCTTTCATGCCATGTCCTAATAAAAACGGTGATAATGAGCATGCATAGTCCAAAGTTTCTTTTGTAATAATACCAACTTAACACTTTCTCTCAAACTGAAGCATATATGTCTAATACCTTGAAACTTTCTCTGAAGGTGGAAAGTAGATGTCTATCGTGCTCAGCTTGTTATGAAGTTCAGAAGAGTAGTTTCTACGTTATGTCTAAATAAATACATCTTGTAGTTGATGACTTGATGCTAGTGGAATTATTTGAACTGAAGCTGACTTGCAAGGTTGCTTTGACATTGAATCTTTGAACTGTTTTACCAACCTCATTCAGTACAGTGTTGTCTTGTTCTTGATTGTTTCTCACGAACTTCTCATCTTTATGATTGACTTTCACGGATGACTCATTTAGGATGTGTTCTGTCATCTTCATGGATGCTTCAGTTTGAATTTTCAGCTCTCTCTCCCTCTCTTGCTCACGCACACACACACACACACATGCACACGCACAAGCCTGCCTATACAGACACGTAATCTAGACGTCCAATGTTTTCTGGATTCCATCCCTTAAATTTTAACAGAGAATTGAACAGTAATGTAAAAGGCATTCTGTTTGGATAATTTTATCAGCTATATGTTATATGCTGCCTCTTTGTTATGCAATTAAGTTGTAAAAACAACCACTAATTTACGTTACAGTTGTCAGAACTCATAAGTGATGAAGGCTGTAACGATTGGATGCATTTATTGGGGGATTTCACAATAAAGTCTGTACAATCCTAATGGATTGGTTGGTGTGTAAGATTTTCAGTATTTCTATGAAATATAACCATCTTTCCTTTATGGAAAAGAAAGCTTGACTTGTTTGGCAACTGATGAACTGAACTTGTCTTGTACTAGTGGGACAGAATCAGGTTTTACTACCTTCAATGGATGTGATCCAGATCAGTAGCGTCTTCATTACACTGCAGGAGTCTTAAACCAATCTATTTGGATGAGTTTGTGCCTAAAAGAATTAAAAGTTCCATTACTTTTGTTCCCTTTAGTATTTCTTTCTCTCTTTGGATTCTGAGATGATCTTTCTGAGCATTCACTTGACAATGTTTGACAGCTTCAAGATCAGGTCAATTTCTGTCCTTTCCTCTGCAGATTTCAGGTTTGTACATTCCATCCTTCGAATGCCACTTTTTTTTTTTTTTTTTTGTTCAGATGTAATATCAGAAAGCTCCTTTAAAAATACATGATAAAATGTAAAGACCTTGTGATCTGGCCAGTCACATGCAGATACTATATAATTGATTTTGTTGATTTCTTTGACAACGAGGTCCTTCATATTGTCTCCCTGACTTGCAGAACCAAAGATAAATTCTCATTAATTTCTAGCTGGTTGATATCATAAACATACATTAAGAACGGAGAAGGAAAATATTTCAAGTGCTAACCAATTTAAATTTCTTCAAGGAAAACTTGTCATTACTTTTTTGATGAATCCAAGTTTTTCATCAGTTTGGCGTGCATTTTAGGTTTGTTAGCCTAGGAAATGAATAAGGAGGGCCAAAAAAAAAGGAAGTTGCTGAAGACCTCCAAATTAAATGATATCACATTTTTCATGCAAACGAATTTTTGCTAATCTTTGAGCTTTTAATGGGATTCATTGTATGCAAGTTCCAAATATTTAATGTTTATTCTACTCTGGGAGTGTGTGTCCAAATCGTGAAGGGCTATCAGAGCACCTGGTGTAGACTTGCCTTTTTGCAGCTAATGGAGTGCAATATTGCCAAGTGCTTAGAATCATACATACATACATACATACATAATTAATTTAAGATGCTGTAGTTTGCTAAGTAAATATGATTTTTATCGGTACAGCTCCAGAAGTTTAAGAAACAAATATTTGACTAGTATAAGGCTGCAGTTTTCATTCATTAGAGCAGCTCAACAAACGTTTTTTCCATATCTACTGGTTTTATCTTGATGTAGATTCTTCTTGTTTCTTTAGATATTTAAAACACTCTTTGAGATCATATTATTTGAGAATCATTGCAGCCAGCGGAGGGACCAACACTCAAAGGTTGGAACCTCCTAAGTTTGTTCTCTTGTTTCCACTATTTTCCAGATCTGCATGCCTTATGCCTTGTTTGTCAATTCCCAAAAATGTCCTCTTTACTTTTTATTTTTTGAGGAAAGGTATGATCAGCCTAAAAATCGATGTTACTGTGAAACTGACATAGGACTACATGAGCTGAAGTAAATTATTATTGTCAATATTTAGGAAGAAAATGAACTCTGGACTGCTTACTCTACCTGGATGCTTGCATCTGCCCCATTATAAACATCAGACGGAAATAAGCCTAATTCTGATGACAGCGATGTTAGGACTGATTATTGATCAGGATTGTTAGTATTGCTCAATCTCTTTTCATCTTCAAACATTGCAGCATTTATCCTGTATTGTTACAAATACTTATCACAGTATATATTGCTCTTATAAATACGATTACATCAATAAGATTTATATACAACAAAGTGTCAATACTTCACAAGCAAAACACGGTGACTGTTCTTCAAGATTAAAATATGTCTAATTGTTGAACATTGAATAAAATTCAAAAAAAAAAAAAAAAAAAAACCCTGCTATTGATTTCATATGCAGCATTCCAGTAGAGGAAGTTTACCTTTAGATTTCATATGTAGCAAAACGTGGTGACTTTTTTTTTTTTTTTCCATTATTTTGGCTTTTGTTGCTTGCTTGCTAATTTCAAGAAAATGCTAAGCCACGTCATTTCCTGCTGTAAAGCTGTTTCCTGTGGTCCTTCAATGTGGTTCTCTGCTTGCATTTTGTCCTGTATACGGTTTTCTAAACTTACGTTGCTCGACTTAATATAATATAGTGGTTTCAATTGTCCTGTTGAATTTTATATAGATATATTTATATACTCAATCAAACCCAAGCAAAAGACATGCACATTACAGTTTTATTTGGCTTATCCATTCTTAGGTTTCTAAAATAAATGAAATTTAAGTGAGGAAAAAGAAATATTGAAACTCTTCCATAACATGCTGTGCAATATGCCAGAACTGCCTGATTAGATTCCATATCGAAATCAAAGTACAATACAGCAATTGATTTTCATTTTGCACTTTCTGTTTCTAGCTGAAAAACAATTGATTTGTGTTTCCCATGCTTAGCTTGAAGCTAATTTGAAATAAATACAAACTCGTCAGCAAGAAGCATTATATGCGTGTGATGATGAGGTGAAAATCCAATCAATGGCAAAGACATGCGTGCTAGGGTATGTGAAGACTTTCAATTGTGAAAATTTCCAAGATAAAGACTCAATGACATCCTTTAAAAGGATGAACAATTTTAAATGCACTTTAAAGTATTTGGTCTAACTCATTTGGGTCCTTATTTTAATTGAGGTATAGTTGTTGTAGAACAAAGTATATGTATCTTTTTACAATATATTAAAATATATTCTGTTTATCATTAGAATTTTTTGTTTCTAACGTCTTTACAAGTTTTTTTTTCCCTGACTCATTGAATGTACGACACTTATCAATATATTCATTTTGACCTGATTTTCAATTTTTGAAGCAATAAATGGCTTTTAAAAAAAGAAATTTTATTTTTAAAAATTTCATAAAATTAAAAAGACAATAAAATATTAAAAAATAAATTTACTCCTATTAAATAACTTAAAAAAATAAAAAATTATTCATAGAAGGATTTATTTGGGTTTTTTACTTCTTAAAAATTATTTTTATATTTTTTTCTAATTTCTGAAACGTTTTAAAT